AGAATGTTATTTCTGTGTAAAACTTAATTTCTCGGGATTGTGAAAAGAAAAAGAAGAATGCCAATTATTTGACACTCTTGTCTATCTCACCTTCCATCGGTCTGCAAAATTCTTTGTTCAACTGATTACTGTGTCATGTTACTCTTCAGCTATTATAAATTATCTGAGAGTTTTACCATGGGGAGCCAGGATCATTCTTGCAGTTTGGGCACCTCAATTTCCATCTATGCAGCTTCTCTTCAACAGAATTTTTTACATTATAAAATTCTGGGGAAAAGATTATCCTCGCATTTGTTTTTAGTTTTCTCAGGTATTTTAACATGTTTCCTTGCCTTTATTAAAGCATCGTTGACTTGCAGTTACACACGAAACAAATCATTTGGACTTGCCGTTTTGCTCTTTAAAAGCTCACCCATTCTAGTTATTTTCTGGACCAAGTAATAATCTCATTCGTTTTTTGTACAAAAAAAAAATAATAGTAATTTGGTCCATAACGTTATTCCTGCGGAGATTACAAATAAACAACTGAAGGACAAGGGCCTATTTCATCTTGCAGTTTCCCCATATTTTTCTGTTTGTTTCTCCTGTTCATATTGTCCTTACTGGTTGTGAAGATCTCTTTTGTGCTGCTGAGCTAGTTGTCACGGACTTGTTGTTTTCTCCAAGCACCGTGCAGCACTTAGTGTTTCCAACTTCCGCCCATGCTGTTTTTACACTAAGTCAGCCTCCTAATTAGCGTTGAGGTCTTAGAAAGGTACCGAGTAGAACACTTAAGAATTTAAAGGAGGAACACAAGTGTTTATAATGAAAGCTTTGTATTGATCAAAAAAACTTTACAATGCTTAGAACTTTACTACTTCACTCTCTCCATCTCCAAATGAATGAACATACCAAGCTATTTATAGGTAAAGTCATTCTTAATGGATGGTTATAATCAATTTGATCAAACGGTCTACATTCCGTCTCTAGAATTTTCTACAAGTATCCATAATAAAATATGTACAAAGAATTAATTAGGATTATCTAGCATAATCCACAAGTATAAGACTTGTCAATTATCTAAAATTTTCCATTACCTTCTAGTTAGTTTCATGTGTCATCATAGTTTAGAACATTTTGGATTAGCTTCAAGACCCCATTGTTCTAGATAATTTTTGCATCTTTGCTATGAGACGAGCGGGTCATAACATTCTCCCCCTCCTAATTGGGCGACGTCCTCATCGCCGTGTAGTACTTCAATTTGTCTTCGAACTGCCACAAGTCTTCTTGTGCCTCCCAGGTTGCTTCGGACTCAGGCAATCCTTTCCATTTGATTAAGTATTGTTTGCAAGGAGGTACTCCACACCTTCGAACCACGCGGTCTGCCAAAACCTCATCCACCTCATTGTCAAAGGACTTAGTCACAATCGGGGGTGCCTGTTGTGACTCACTCTGGCTAGGGTCTTTCATGTCTTCATAGAATGGCTTCAGCATACTTACATGAAAGACCGAATGAATCTTCAAAGTGCTAGGTAGGTCAAGGCGATAGGAGACCTTGCCAACCTTAGCAACTATCGGGAACGACCCTTCATACCTCCATACCAAGCCTTTGTGAACACTTCGGTATGTTTTGAACGGCTGATGTAATATTTTTACTAGGACTTGGTCACCAACCTTGAACTCCAACAGTCATCTTTTCTTGTCTGCCCACTTTTTCATGCGTCTCCGTGCCTTGTCCAAGCAGGAACGAGATAAGTCGGCATGCTCCTACCAAGACTTAGCCATTTTATAGGCTCCAGCACTTTTCCCTTCTTCAATGCAAGTGGACAAAGTGTGGGGCATTAGTGGTTGTTGCACGGTTGCCAACTCGATAAAGGCGTCCTCCCACCCAGTTGATCTACACGACAAATCAATAAAAGTTATGCAATTACTTATATATAATTATTTTTCGTAAATCTTATTTAATTTTTTTTTCTCGACGGATCCAGCTGAGTGCTGGATCCGCCCCTGACTACAGCAACAAGAATCGGTACTATGTTCAAAGAATCACAACTTTTCTTAACATTATTTGGTCTAAAGAACTGAGCAATGAAAGAACCAACTGTGAGTGCTCGATTTCTGGTTTTTGATTTTGGGGGTAGGGTGGTTTGGAGGAGGAACTTTATATTTTTTATTTAATTATTCTATTTGTTTTATTATTATAAATATACCATTTTGTCCCTTACTCAAGTTGTCCATTTGAGTTAATATTACTATTTCAACTTTGTCACTAACGGAATTTTGGTTTGAATATGTTATAAGGACTCCAACTACCGTTAAAGTGAGAGGTTTGGGATTGCGGCTGCAAAAATGAAAGATTAGGGTGTAATCTACAACAAAATGAAATGTTTGGGACCTTTACTTCAATTTTCTCCATTTATTATATTAAAGGTTGTAGTATTGAAATGACAAAAAAATGATCTATCGTCTAATGACCCCTTGGCTTCTCTCGACCCATAGAAACACAAGAACGTTTACTTCCCAACACTCTTTCACATGTACGTATTGTAGATAAAGTTATACAAGAAGGATTTGAATCAAGAATGTTATTTCTGTGTAAAACTTATATTTCTCGGGATTGTGAAAAGAAAAAGAAGAAAGGGATTGCCAATTATTTGACACTCTTGTCTAGCTTAGAATGACAATTATTCGATACTTACTATCTAGCTTTTGCTACTTTTTGAATGTAAGTAGTGATTTAAGATTTAACATTCGTGGAATAACCTATTAGTTGCTTTCATTATAAGTAAAGCAAGGTTCAATGCCTTTTTGACCTTTATTGAAATCATAGAGGGTTATATGTTGTCCAAAAATATATTCTAAGGGACATGTTAATATTGTGCTTAATGACAGCTCACATAGGATACATCATCTTGATGATGAAGATTTTTTTTTCTTTTTTTTTGATTTCGTTGATACAAAATCTTTCAACCATGACGCCGGTGACTTGTAATAGGCTTCTTTAACTTGCATGAATCAATAAGTATGGAAGATCGTCGTATTTTTCTTGATTCTTTTGTCGAGGAAAAAAAAAAGATAAAATGAAACACAATTTACAACATAATAGTTTTTTTATGCCAGTTTTTACAGCGAAAATATTGATAATTTGTAAGTGTATTTTTACACTTATCTGCGCGATAAAAAAAAAAAAGGGTATTTGGGTATGATTTTATTGAATAGATACTTAATTAGAAAAATTTGAATTTGACAAAGTTTGAATAAAATTGGATTAAAATTATACAAAATTGAAGGATTGATGGTCAAAATAATAAAATTTTGAAGTTGAGGACCTAGGTTGAACAAGAAATTAATGTGAAAGACTCGAGTGCACAAAACTTAGAAGAATTGAGGGTCAAAATAATAAAGTTTTGAAGTTGAGGTCTTGGGATGAACAAGAAATTAATGTGAATGACCGAAGTGCACAAACTTAAAAGAAATATTAGCTTTTGTTGATGTCCTAATTATACTCAAACTGGAGATGCTTTAGGACTCCTTTTTAGATTTATTGTAGGCATCTATATAGTTTTCATTATTATTTCATCTATCTCACAAAGATACGATTACTTCTATTTTCATACAGATTAAAAATTGTAATTAATATAGTTGAAAATATAATTTTTTCCTAATATACTTTTATATTAAATAACAATTTAAATAAAAGTAGTTCATATTTGTTGACAATAAGGTATATTAAATAGGGACATATTAGAAAAATAAAAAAAAAAAAACTCAGTAAGTAAAATGACCTATAATTTGCAACAGCATAAAAAAAAAAAAAAAAAA